CACAAACCCTTTATAATAAGCGAACCTTTACGTGAAGCGTCATCAAATAAAAAGAGCTTAGAAGGAATACTGTCGCTACTTAGCAAATCAAAGAGTTCTCATTGTACAACTCTAAGAAGGATACTCGAACAGAAGGGTCACCATTAGGCTAGCAGAAAATATATGAAAGTAGACTTACAATTGATTCTAGATAATTAAAAATGTGACTAAGAGCTCGAGGAACAAGGCCAATGACAGGATACAGTTCCCAACCAAATCGAAGTGTATGTGATCGTTCTCCCGTCATTGTGTAGGTTTTCCCACTACCGGACCGTCCATATCTACATTAAAATGAGTTGGAATGAGGATGATAATTTGATCAGCAAATCGTAATATAAACAAAAGAATCAAATAAGTCATCAATGTAGATGAAACGAAATGTGAAATCTTATCAAACCAGGTAATATGAGTTTAAGCAAGACAAGATATTAAAATAAGTCTGTGCGAGAAAGAACCTACGCAAAAATTGTGCAATTGTATCCTTGAAGCATTTCTTCAACAAGAGGAGCCAGAATCGATTTGTAGACCTCATTTTGTTAAGAAAAAGTGCCAAAGACTGTCAAAGGAGTAGGTCTTAGTTCCGGATCTATCTGGGATAACTACTTTTCCGTCGTTTGTGCAGTGTACCGTAGTAGTGAAAACCTTACTTTCTTTATATTTATTTAATGGCCTAAAGGGTTAGGCTTTAATGAAAATACCTGCAGCGTACTACTAAATATTAAGGAAAATTACAAAATATAAAGAGCGCGCCAGACAAGGAAGGGAGAGCGCGCCAGACAAGTAAGGGAGAGCGCACACGTTCAAACTATATAGATAATGTTACAAGTTAATATGCTATTACAAAAAACCAGATTATTCAAAATAAATTTTGATTAAATTGCTACTTTAGATTAGAAGTATACACTTATGACTATTTAATATATGGTTGAACAAGGTATTTTGGTATACACTAAATGAAGGCTTCTGAAATTATGAAACATTACTTGTTTAAGTCTATCATAAAATTGGTAAGATTTTCAGTTTTATAATTAATTTTTCGGAAATACCAGTATACTTGTTATAAGAACCGTATCCATCCAAATTATCTTCAGGTTATGAAGGACTTGTAGTCGAATTTTTCAGCAACCATGTGACTATGCCTTAGATTTAGAGTTTATGTCATTTGGCCTTACTATCCCGAAGGTATTCTCAACCAA